ACCCCTGTGGGGTAGGAAAAAAAGGTGAGACTCAGTCTTTCATTACTGTTTAAAGGGAATTTCCCAAAGGAGTGCGAAGGGTACAGTAACCATTGACTCTGAGGGAAGGTTATGCCCTCGGCCGAATTTAGGAAGAGCTAGTGTTTCCTTATCTTCCCAAAAGGTTCATACAATCCATTTTCTCTTTTTATTTCTTTCATTCATATTTAAAGATGTTTATTTTTGTCATAAAATGGTAGAGTTCACTTTTAAATTGTGTTTATGATCCTGAAATTCTCTTTGACCTAATGGATAAATAAGCCCTCTTATATAAGATTTGTTTCTTGACTGCCTTCAGATTCATGTTTCAAATTAAAACCAATTGTATTGCTTTATTAAACATTTAAGTTACCTGTTTTTAATGACCAGCAACTTTTTCTTTAAAAGTCTAGATTTAAAAAATTTTAATATCACCATGCAAATTAATTCCTCAAGTTGTTTATTTTATAGTATACACGTTAAAAATACTTCTGGTGCCAACTGTGGAGATGACTTAATATTTCAAGCAAGGCATACTGAAACATTTACCAAAATGGTTTTTTAAAATGTGCAGAATATGAGCAGTATACAAATGGAATTTTAGTTTGAGATGCTGTTCTTTAGACTTTTATGAGTTTGCCTTGCTTACAAGTCTTAGACGAACAAGCAGCCATGGGCATCAGTCCAGAGGGCCGCCTTGGTATTTGCACCTCACATCTAATTTCATGTTTTACAGCCTGGAAGAAGTCCCTGAAAGAAAGATGGAATGCCAAGTCGGTGTATGTGGTCGGCAGTGCTACCGCTTCTCTCGGTAAGCCATCAAGGTGAACACACATCACCAAAAGATGACGGTGGTGTGTGATTCATAGTAAGAAATAGATGCTTGGTCTTTGTCCCTGTTCCTGGCACGGAGCTCCCAAAACCCTTGGAAGTTTTCTAAGTGATAAAGATGAAAATGTCTTCTGTTATTCATAAACACCTGAGTTTATTTTAATGAGGTGACTTATAGAAAGCCCCTAAAGTTGGGGCTGGTTGCCAGGGGAGCCAGTTGTGTAATTATAGTAGGAACTTTTAGACTCCTGCCCCCAACTTTTAAACACTCGATTTTAGGTCACCTTTCCAGACATGACGCACAGAAGGAGCTCTCTTTAGTGAGTAAAGAGAGGGGACGTTGCTTGAACTCACCTCCCGCAGGGAGAGAGCTCACACCGCCCACTCCTTTCCCAACCCTTTACCTAGAGCCTCTGTGGGCTGCAGGGTGGACCAGATAGCCCGGTCCCCGCCAGCGGCCGCCTCTCTCAGGCGCAAGGGTGATCTCCACATTGTCCAGCTCACAGGGTTGTGTGAAGGATCAGATGAGCCAGTGCTGCTCTGAGCAGCAGAGCCTGTGGTCTCGGCACGCTTCCCACCATCTAGGTCCTTAGAAGGAATGCACACAGAGGTCCGTATTAAGTACCAGCATCACTGTGAGGATCGACGTCCCAGCTCAGCTCCTGGGAAGTCCTCAGGGTTCTTCGGTGCACTGAGAATTAGGAGGGCCTAATTCAATCAGAGGGCTGGCTGGCGATGTCGCATAAGCAAGGGCTTTGTTCCTGAGCTAAGCTTACAGCTGCAAGTGACTTTTTCTCCTGGACTCAGCACGTTTGTAACGATCTGTAAATTAAAAGCCGATAGTGTTTACGTTAAAGCTGCAGTTTGTCATTAGCCAGTGTCCTGTGGATTCCACATGGAATGCCCACAGCACCTCCTTTCTCAGAGAAGCTCCACATTCCTGGGAACAGGCAGCAAGCTGACGCAGCTGGCCCCTGGGCCCGTCCTTCTTCACCACCCTCTGCAGAGCGACCAGCGTTCCCGCCTGGAGCCTGCGTGCCTGCCTCTTGCTCAGTTCATGACAGAAGTCATACCCAAGTGGCTGGTACAGCCCCTGTCCCTAAAGACCTGCCTTCGTGGTCCTGGGGGCCCTGCTGGCAGCTTCTTATGAAACCAGTCTCCCCATGTCAACCCATGACACTTCTGGATGGGCGCTGGTGTCGCCTCCCTGCTGAAATGAGGGCTCTCTAATGCCCAGTAGTAGATCTCAGAGGCTCACCCCCTCCTGACTGAGAAGAAAACCACCTTTTTTGTGCTCCTCCGAGATGGCCAGGAGTTTGCTCTCACTATCTCGTATAATCCTTAAACCAGTTGCATATGATTGTTTTCCCATCTTGTACGGGGAGCTCAGTGGGGCCCAGGGAAATTGGAACATGACCCAAAGCCATGCATCTGTGACGGCTGGGGCCCTGTACCCTCACCTCTGACACCACACCTTGGCCTTCCTGCCCCCGCCCTAGGAGGAGACTTTCTCTGTGTGACTTGGGAAGTGCCTAGCTTCACATNGGGGCTCAAGTTGGCACGCTCTTCCGTAAGCAGCTTTAAAGGGGAACCAGAGACATCATCCTTTGAGATCATTTCCAGGACCTCGTGGTCAGAAAAACCCTGAGGTCCCCACAGGAGCCTGTCCCTCGGCACCAGCCAACCTGCTCCACGAGGGGTTTGCTGAGCCCCCCATCAGGCCCTGGTTGTGCAGTGAGCGCGGGCTTGGGGGTCCCCGGGGACACTCACCACTCGCCTCTCCACGCCTGTGTGCTTAATCTAGGAGGTGAGAGTTGTGCCCCCACCTCACAGGGAACTTGGACAACTCAGCAAAGGGTCCGTATGAAACAGCCCAGCACCTGGCTCAGAATAAATGCTCAGCAGGTCTTATCACTCTCATTTTCTTTGAAAATCAGGGCTTCAGTGTGGACAGGGCCCCTTGAATATTCAAGTTCTATCGCAGACGCAGGTCAGGTCTCCCCTCCTGCCGGCACCCTGCCCAAGCCCAGGCTGAGACCCATTGCCCCTCTCTGCCCTGGTTACACCCACCACGCTTCACTGTACCTGCCTGTGTCTCCCTCGACTGAGCTGCTTGAGGGAAATGCCAGGAATAATGGATCCACCTGTATTCCTAAAGGCCTAGGATAGGTCCAGGCCCTCGGTCAGCTCTCCGTAAATATTGAGCAGATGCTCAATAATATGGACGGACGGGTGAATGCACGGAATGAATCCGTTTGCCTGCTACGCCTCTGAGCATTTGGGATTCTGGGAAGTGGTGAGCTTAGCCTTCATATAAAATGCCGTTGTTGTTTGGTGTGCAGCTGTCTCACCCAGAAGGCTATGGAGGACTCATTTTTACCAGCCCCCGAGCAGCGGAAGCTGTGGAGCTGTGTTTGGAGGAAGACAGCAAAACTGAAGGTGAGGCGGGGCCTGCCGTGAGTTCCACTGGACTCGCCTTCACTCTGCCTTCTCCCCTTGGCGGTACTAGATTGCAGATACGGGTCCTTCAGGTGTGAAAAATTGCAGTCACTTTTAGCTCAGGGAGTATTGAGGCGCCAAGTTACTTCACATTTATGTGACCTTTGGCGGGAGCACAAAATGACCTTTCTTCTTAGGAGCTGTCGCTTGATGTCCCACACAAGGACATGTCAACCTGTGAGCCTCCTGACAGGAGTGGGCGCTTCGTGGTGCCATGTCACAGACCCACCTTGGGACACAGGAGACATTGCTGCCTCCTAAACTCCCAGATGGATGTCACTGAGCAGGCCTCTAAATGTTCACCTGCCAGGTGGTCACATCTCCCCTCAGTATATTGGCACCTGTCTCTTTCCTCAAACGATGATGAGAAGATCCAACAATATCTGAGAAAACTGTGTGCCGTGTCAGGCGCCTAATGACATGTCCCTTAGAGCCTCTTCCTGCCCCCTTGCCTCTCCCTCACAACAGATGAACAGAGCCCGGGGTTCAAACTGGTCCCCCACCTCAGTCTGCTCCATCAGACAGCTTCGTGGTAACATTTGTGGAGTGCCTGCTGCACACCAGGCCATGTTTACGTGCATGAACTCCTGTAACCCAGGGGTACACATGCTGTGCTCCTCATCTTACAGATGAGGAAACTGAGGCCTGGGAAGAGGAAGCACCGCTCCAAAGCCATGGGACCAGTGAGTCCGGCCTGAGCAGCTCCAGTTATAATCACGAGTGGCGCAAGCCGGGTGGGTGGTTACCGAGAGTGCTTACAGCGAGGTCGGCCTGGGCTCAGATGGCCACCCTAACCTTGGCAAGTTCCTGGACCTCGCCGAGCCTCAGTTTCCTGGTTTGTAAAGTGGGTTCATCACTTCCGCGGGGAGCTCGCTGGAACTTAGGGGGGCCTGCTCTGTGCCAGACAGTCCTGAGTGCCTTACCCCTGAGGCAAGTGCAGTTAGTATTTCCATCTGACCAGGGAGGAGCCTGAGGAGCAGAGGATACGAAACTCCAAGACCCCTCGTGGCCTGTAAGTCACAGGCATGTGATTCCAGCCTCAGAGCGTGAGTCCCGAAGAGAAGCCTTCAGGACATTGCTGGGCACACGGTGGGCAGTGAGTGAGTGACAGTGGTGAGCAGTCATTAGTCTCTGTCTATACATTTAATTAGGCCTCATTACAGCTCAAAAGATCACCTTGGTGATTTCATAGCCACCCCTCCTGTTGAGGAGGAAGTCTGATGCTTTTCAGAGGGGTGAGGACTCGTGCTGCCCATCAGCACACAGCTCAGACCCGGAAGTGCTGTCATTCCAGAGGGGAGAGGACACTCCGGGTGGAGATGCACGTGAATTGCGCACCAACAGTGCTTCAGGAATCTTGGTGTCACAGTTGTATTTTTCCTCTCCTATGTGTTTTGAGGATGAAGGTGATGAGAAAGAAGAAAACCCTAGAATGGACACCATAACTTTGCTGTTTAAAAAGTATTTTCCC